TATATATATGTATAATTATATATACATATATAAATATGCACTTACCACATTACAGCATTACATTGACAGGAAGCTGCCAGAATTTCAAGCTGGATTCAGAAGAGGACTTAAAACAAGGAATATCATTGATTACATATGGTAGATTAGAGAATGAAAAATGTTTACTTGCGATGTTTACTTCTATTTTATTGCTTTTGCAAAGGTATTTGAGTATGTGGATCATAACAAATTATGGATAACATTACAAAGAAAGGGAATTCCAGGACACTTAATTGTACTCACGTGAAACCTGTACTTAGACTCAAATGCAGTCTTTTGAACAGGACAAAAGTCATGGAAGGTGTGTGTCGTGATTGTATCCTTTCACCACGTTTATTCCATCTGTACATTGAATAAATCCAAGAACCTGAACTATATAAAGAAGAACATGGCATCAGGATTGGAGGAAGGCTCATTAACAACCTGTGATATGCAGATGGCACAACCTTGCTTGTTGAAAATGTACAGGACTTGAAGCACTTACTGATGACAATCAAAGATTACAACCTTCAATATGAATTACAAGTCAAAGTAAAGAAAGCAAAAATCCTCACAACAACCAGTAAGTAACATCATGATAAATGGGGAAAAGATTGAAATTGTAAAAAATTGTACTTGGATTCACAACAAATGCTCATAGAAGCAACAGTCAAGAAATCAGACCTCATATTGCATTGGGCATATCTTCTGCAAAAGAGGTCTCTAAAGTGTTAGATATCAAATTTTACTTTGAGAACTAAGGTGCTCATGACTCAGGGCATAGTATTCTCATTCACCTCACATGCACAGAAAATATGGACAATGAATAAGGAAGACTGAAAAAGAATTGATGCCTTTGAATTATGGTGTTGGCGAAGAAAACTGAAATCACCATGGACTACTTAGAAGACGAAAACCAAGCTGCCTTGGAAGAAGTGAAGTCAGAATGCTCTTTGGAAGTAAGAATGGTAAACATGACAACTTTGTACATGTTGTCAGAAAGGAGTTGTTGTTTTTAAGTGCCATGGAGTCAGTTCTGACTCATAGCGACCCTGTACATTGTGTCCGAGTCTGTAAATCTTTACGGGAGCAGAGAGCCTCATCTTTCTCCCTCAGAACAGCTGGTAGTTTCAAACTGCTGACCTTGCAGTTCACAGCCCGATTCATAACCACTATGCTACCAGAGTCTCTGGGAAAAGGACACCATCCTCGGTAAAGTAGAACGTTGGTGAAAAAGAGGAACGCTCTCAACTAGATGGACCGACACAGTAGCTACAACAATTGGCTCAAACTTCTCAGAAAGTTGGTACACGATCAGGCAGTAATTCCTGCTTTTGTACATAGGGTCACTATGAGTTGGGGACAACTCAAGGGCACCTAACAACAACAACAGAAACCATATGTCTGTCATTTTGTCATATTATGGTAACTTGTGTATTGCTGTGATGCTGGAGCTATGCCACTGGTATTTCAAATACCAGCAGGGACACCCATGATGGACAGTTTCCAACAATTGCCATAATAATTTTATATAGATGCGTACACATAAACGATGGCGCTTCAATGTTTTCATGGGAATGGAATAAAAAGATGATAGATATTTTCCACAAACATTTGGAAGCCCCCTCATTCATATATTTGTGGATAAATTATATATATATATATACACACACACACACACAAACTATATTGCTGTTGTTGTTGTTAAATGCTGTGGAGGTAGAGTCTGTTCTGACTCATAGTGACCCTGTTTAGGGTTTCCAAAGAGCATCAGGTGGGTTTGAACTGCAGACCTTGTGGTTCATAGTGCAGTGCTGATCCTGCAATACCACACCAGGAGTCCATATGAGTATCTATCTATCTATCTATCTATCTATCTATCTATCTATCTATCTATCTATCTATCTGAGTATCTATCTATCTATATGAGTATCTATCTACCTATCTATCTATCTATCTATCTATCTATCTATCTATCTATCTATCTATCTATCTATCTATCTATCTATTCATCCATCCATCCATCCATCCAATCCATCAGTCCGTCCATCCATCCACAATCATAATTCTTTACCCTTCCTCTTCATAAAGAACCTTGATGGCACTCTAGAATAAACACTGGAGTGCTAACTGTATTGTCAGCAATTCAAACCCACAACTACTTTGTGGGAGAAAGATACAGTTTTCTGCTCCAGTAAAGATTTACAGCCTCTGAAACCCACTACAGGGTCACTGTGACTCAGAATTGACTTCCAGGTAGTGGGTTTGGTTCTTTGGTTTTATTAGCCATTGTTTATCTCCCTTTAGAGCAATGTCTAACCAAGTGCTTTGCCCATTTTAAATTGGATTGTTAGTCTCTTTGATGTTGAATTGTAGGCATTCTTTCCAAACATGTTCTCACACCCTTTATCTTGTTGATTTCACTTTTTTAAGGACATCCTCAATGCGTGAATTTTTAAAATTTTGATGAAGTCCAATTTACCCATTTTTGTTGTAGTTCATGATTTTGGTTGTTCAAACAGAGCATGGGAACACTGAATGTTTTAAAATTGGGAAAGGTGTGTGATAAGGTTGTGCTCTTTCACCATATTTATTCAACCTGTATGCTGAGCAAATAATATGAGAAGCTGGATTCTATGAATAAAAACGTGGCATCAGGATTGGAGGAAGACTCATTAACAACCTGCAATATGCAGATGATACAACCTTGCTTGCTGAAACTGAAGAGTACTTGAAACATTTACTGATGAAGATCAAAGAGCACAGCCTTCGGTATGGGTTGCATCTCAATGTCAGGAAAACAAAAATCCTCACCACTGGACCAATAAACAACATTCTTATCAATGGAGAAAAGATTGAAGTTGTCAAGGACTTCATTCTTCTTGGATCAACTATCAACACTCGTGGAAGCAGTAGTCAAGAGATCAGAGGACGTATTGCATTGGGCAAATCTGCTGCACAGGAACTTTTTCAAGTGTTGAAGAGCAGAGATATCAGCTTGAGGACTAAGGTGCGCCTGACCCAAGCCATGGAATTTTCAATAACCTCATATGGATGTGAAAGCTGGACAGTGAATAAGGAAGATCATAGAAGAATTAATGCCTTTGAGTTGTGGTGTTGGAGGAGAATACTGAAGGTGCCATGGACTGCCAAAAGAACCAATAGCTCTGTTTTGGAAGAAGTGCAGCCAGAGTGCTCCTTGGAGGCCAGGATGGCTAAACTTCGTTTCTCATACTTTGGACATATTGTCAGGAGGGAACAGTTGCTGGAGAAGGATATCATGCTGGTTAAGATGGAGGGTCAGAGAAAAAGAGGAAGACCCCCAGTGAGATGGATCAGCCAGGTGGCATCATTGATGGCATCAAGTGTGGCAGCGGTAGTGAGGTTGGCCCAGGATCCGACATTGTTTCTTTCTGCTGTGTATGGGGTCGCTATGAGTCGGTTCTGACTCGATGGCACCTGACAACAACACCAGCAGTGAATATCTAATGGAGCTCTGGTGGCGTAGTGGTTATGAATCAGGTTGCAAACTGCAAGGTCAGCAGTTCAAAACTACCAGTTGTTCCGCGGGAGAAAGATGAGGCGTTCTGCTCCCATAAAGATTTGCAGCCTCGGAAACCCTGTGCAGGTAGCTATGAGTCAGAACCTGCTCCACGGCATACAGCCAGCCATGAATATCTAAGAATTCATTGCCAAAAACAATGCCTGAAGATTATTTTGGTATGGCTTTGACTCTTATATTTAGGCTACTGATCCATTTTGAATTAATTTTCTTATATGGTGTGAGGTAAGGGTCTAACTTCACTCTTCCAGAATCTCTTTCAGGATCAGTTGTGCTACACGTCAACAATAAAAAGAAAACAGTTGCTTTGGAAATCCAGTTATCCCAACATCATTTATTGAAGATGTTATTCTTTTTCTCATTGAATGGTCTTGGCACCCTTGTCTAAAAATAATTCACCATAGGAGTATGGATTTATGTCTGCATTCTCAAATTCTGTTCTCTTGGCTTCAGTGTATATCCTTATACTAGTATCACAGCTTTTATGACTGTAGCTTTACGGTCCATTTTGGAATTGGCAGTCTAAGTCCTCCTACTTTGTTCTTCTTCAAGTTATTTTTGGTAATTAAAGTCCCTTGCAATTTCATATGAATGAGAATCAGTGTTTCCATTTTGGGGGGTGGGGAGAAAGGATTTGTAATTTTAATAAAATGTCTTTGTATCTGTAGATTACTTTTGGTAGTATTAACATTCTAACAATTTTAAGTTTTCCAATCCATGTCTTTCCATTTATAAGTTGCTGTTAAATGCCTTTGAGTCAGTTCCTACTTGTAGCAACCCTGCTTGAGTGTCTGAGGAGCAGCTGGTGGGTTTGAACCGATGATCTTGTGGTCAGCAGTCCAGTGTTTATGCTGCAGCACCACACCATTTATACAGGACTCCTTGAAATCTTTAAGCAACTTTTTGTAGTTTGGGTGTGCAAGTTGTTCACCTTCTTGGTTAAGTTTATATCTAGGTATTTCATGCTGTTGCAAATGGAATTGCATCTTAATTTTCCTTGCAGATTGTTCATTGCTGCTGTATAAAGACCCAACTGATTTTTGTGTGTTGGCTTTGTACTCTGCAACTTCTGATATGGCTTTCACTGATATGGTTTTAACTGCCAAATATGTGTGTGGATTTAACAGCTGATATTTTTTTAACTGCCAAATATGTGTATGGGGAGAACAGGGAATGCTGATCTGTATTTTGCAGATCCATTAATGGTGGAGGGCTGCTTTTGGCAAAGATGCAGCAATTAAACCAGAAACTGTATGGATTAAGTGGGTGGGTGTTTAGGTAAAGAACTTTCAATCAGCAATACCAGATTTGGCAAATCTGACACATCTCTTTTTTCTTTTGCAGTCAACTTTGATCATTTTCAGATTCTGCGGGCCATCGGTAAAGGGAGTTTTGGGAAGGTAAGAATGATTTCTTTTTGTTTTTTAAAATTCATCAAGATAAAGTAAACGCCCAAACTACTGGGCTTGTGTGTTTGTGTCTGTCTGTCTGTCTGTACGTTGGCTGTACTGGGAATTTTCTTTTTGACAGAACGATGTGGATTTGCCAATTTTTGGGAAGTGAAAGGAAGTCTGAACAGTTTCCTTTGGATATGCTGTAATTTTATTCTGAAAATTAAATTACCCTGGCAGCCCTGGGTGAGGTGAATTACAATGGTAATTATTTCAGCATTGCTAATGCCATTTCTTCCTTGAGGACCTGAATAAGGAATGTGGAAAAAATCCACACATTTATCAGATGGCCAAAGACTGCTCTTTCCAGCTACACTTTTGTTTGGAAACTTTCTATTTTTCTTCCTCAACTATTTTCATGGAAAGGCTATAGAAAATGAGAAAAAGGAAGAGGATTTTAGAATGGGAAAAGGATTCTCCCACCCAAAGATGGTGCCCACTTAATCAGAAATTTCCACTGGCAGTCATTGCTTTGAGTGTTGTTATTGGTTGGTTTGTGCTCCCAACCCCCAAATATGTATTGGAATCCTTACTCCCTCTATCTGTGGAAATAATTTCATTTGGAAATAGATTTTCTTTGTTTGTTGCTGAGGTCATATTAATGTTGCTGTTGTTAGTTTCCTTCAATTGGATTCCAGCTCAAGGTGACCCCTTGTGCGCAGAGTAGACCTTCTCAGTAGTGATTTTAAATGGTGATCTTTCAGAAGCAGATCAACAGGCCTGTTTTTGGAGATGCCTATGTTGGGTTCGAACCACCAACCTTTCAGCTTCTAGTCTGTCAAGGACTCTGCTTGTTAGTACAGGGATGCCGTAAACTAACCACTCTGAGGTATAAAAACAGAAGGTTAGGGGCAGAGCAAAATGGGAGAAGAATAGGTGTCTCAGGAAATGGCCAAGGAACCTAGAAATGATGAGGAAAATCCTTAAGAAGGTTAAGAGAAGGATTTTTCTCATAAGCCAACATAGAGAGAGTGTTCCCTTGGGTTCCAGTGTCTCAAATTCTCCTGAACTATGAGAAAATAAATTTCTCTTCATCAAAGTCACCCATTTTTGATATTTCTATTGTTATTGTTGTTAAGTGCCGTCAGGTCATTTCTGACTCATAGTGACCAAGGAGCAGCTGGTGAATTTGAACCACTGACCTTGCAGTTCAAGCCAACTTTGCAGTCCAGTGCATTAACCTGCAATACCACACCAGAACTCTGGTATTTCTTTTACAGTAGCACTAAGATCTAAGACAAGTACTATAAAATGCCAGATAGTTTCATAGACTCTTAATTAACTATGAATATTATTGCATCCATTTTGTAAATGGAAAAACTTAGTAACTCAGAAAGGTGGTATAGCTTAAACTATGGTCACACAGGCAGGATTGGGATTTGAATGGAAGACTCTGATGGCAAAACCAGAATCAAAGCAACCCCACTGCCTTCAAGCTGATTCCAACTCATGTTGTTGTTAGGTGCTGTTGAGTCAGTTCCAACTCCTAGCTACAGTATGCACAAAAGAATGAAACATTATCTGATCCTGTACCAACTTCTAAATTGTTATGATTGGGCTGATTGTTGCTCCCACTGTTCATCCATCTTCTTGAGGGTCTTCCATGTTTCTTGCTGACCCTCCACTTTACCAAGACTGATATCCTTCTCCAAGGACTGGTCCCTCTGGACAACATGCCCAAGAGATAGCATCACCATCCTCCCTTCTAAGAAGCAGTCTGGCTGCACTTCTTCCAAGGCAGAATTATTTGTTCTTCTGACAGTCCATGGTACTTTCAGTATTCTTCATGAACACCATCATTCAAATTCATCGATTCTTCTATGCTCTTTCTAATTCATTATCCAATTTTCACATGCATAGGAAGCAATTGAAAATGCCATGTTAGTGAGTCTTCCTCCAATCCTGATACCATATTCTCCTTTATATAATCCAGCTTCTCAGGTTATTTTGCTCAGTATATAGACTAAATAAGTATGGTGAAAGAATACAACCCTGGAACACACTTTTCCTGACTTGAAACCATTCTGTATCCCTTTAATCTGTTAGAACAGCTGCCTCTTCCTCTGTGTAAAGAATCCTTCTGAGCACAATTAAGGGTTCTGGCATACCCATTCTTTTCAGTATTATCCAGTTTTTCATGAGCCACACAGTTGAATGCCTTTCCATAGTTAATAAGGTACAAGTAAACATCTTTTCTAGTAGTATCTTCTTTTACCCAAGATCCATCTGATGTCTGCCTTGATATCCCTAGTTCCAAGTCCTCTCCTGAATCCACCTTGAATATCTGACAGCTCTCTATTGATGTACTACTGCAACCATTTTTTAATTATCTTTGGTAAAATTTTGCTTATATGTGATTAATGGTTTTTACATTCCATTGAGACACTTTTTTTTTTGAAATGGGCAAAGATATGGATCTTTTCTAGTTGGTTGGCCAGATAATTGTCCACTAAATTTCTTGAGATAAGCTAATGAGCATGTTCAGTGTTGCATCAGTTTGTTGAAGCATTTCAATTTGTATTCCATCAGTCCCTAAGGCTTTGGTTTTCACTATTGTCTTCGGTGAATGCTTAGACTTCTTCTTTTAGTACCATTGGTTCTTGATCATATGTTGAAATGGTTGACCATCGGCCGAGTCTTTCTGGTACAGTGACTCTGTTATATCTTCCATCTTTTTTTGAAGCTTCCTGTGCCATTCAGTATTATTCCCATAGGAACTTTCAGTATTGCCACTCGAGACCTGAAATTTTTGTTCAGATGTTTTAACTTGAAGAATGCTGAGCATGTCCCTTCTCTGTTTTCTCACTGCAGGTCTTTGTGCATTTCATTATAATACTTGATTTTGTCTTCTTGAGCTGCCCTTTGAAAGTTTCTGTTCTGTTCTTAAACTTACTCTTTTCTTGAATTTGCTTTAACATCTCTATGCTAGAGAGCAAGTTTCAGAGTATCTTCTGACATCCATTTTGCTCTTTTCTTTCTTTCTTGTCTTTTTAAGACCTTTTAGTTTCTTCCTATATGATGTTCTTGTTGTCATTCCATAGCTCTTCTGGTCTTTGAACTTTAGTGTACAATGCATCAAATCATATATTCAGGTGGGATATATTCAAGGTCATATTTTACTCTCATGTACTTGTTCTAATTTTCCTCAGGTTCAGCCTATACTTGCATATGAGCAATTGAAGATCTGTGTCACAATTGGTCCTGGTCTTCTTTGTTTTGTTGTTAGGCGCCATTGAGTTGGTACCAACTCATAGTGACCCTATGCACAACAGAACAGAACAAAACACTACCCTGTCCTGGGCCAACCTCACAATTTTTGCCATGCTTGAGCCCATTTATATTGCCATTTTGCCAGTCCATCTC